GTGCTGCAGGTACCTCGAAGACGAAGCTGGAGCTATGGCGCTGCAGTTAAGTCTCCCTGGCCTCCGCCCAATCTCTCTCTCTCTCTCTAGTACTACTCTAGCTCCTACGAGCGCCCAGCGCTGAAGACTACTGCTAACGCTACTACTACTACTGCAGCGCTCCTCCAGAGTGCTGCTGCCAAATCCTGAAGACTACCTCCTGCCTCCTGAACTGCACGTGAAGTGCCTGGCAAGTCCCTATGAACTACCTGCAGCCTGCAGGGCGGGCCAGTCTTATATAGTGCTGGCCCGTCCAGGAGGCTGCTCTTGCCAATGCCAAAACGTGCCAGACCCTGGCGTTGAAGTTGAAACAAAGGTTGTCTTGAAAATAGGCCCAAAATGGCCTGTGCTAAAACCCTGGTCTGGTGCCTGAGTTTCAGGGCAGGTCGATCTTATGAGGGCCTGAAAATGGCCCTCCGTTTCAGGCTGAAAAGACTCTAGGCCTGGAGGGCCCTGTTTTAGGATGAAATGACACAGGGCGTGTAGGCCCTTATTTTCAGGCCTTTTAGGCTGAAACGACATAGGGCCTGTGGGCCCTTGTTTTCAGGCTTTCAAGCTGAAACGACCCAGGGACTGAAAATGGCCCTAGTTTGCAGGCACAGCATGTAACAGTCCCCCCTCCTTATGAAGCCAAGCCGGGTCGAGGGCGAACCTAACGGTCTGAAGGTGAAACCTGGACGCGGGTGCGACGTGGAGCCGAAGATACCGGCTTGCCTTGCATCTTGCGTTCGTAGCGTGCGAGAACATCTGAAGCTGTTGCTTGGAGTTCCGCACGGGTCAACCAACGGTCAACTTTGTGGGTGCAGTACGCAAAGTGTACCAAGATTTTGGTCGGCCTGTTGCCATAGTGTCACTGGGCGATGATGTCGCCGACCTCTTGAGAACCGTCTATAGAGGGTGGGTCTTGCGATCGTTGTCCGGGAAACTCGTCGTGTTCCGCTGCCGTGTAAAGAGCCAACTTGGAGCAATGAAAGACCGGGTAGACGAGCAAGTGGGCGGGAACCTTAACGGTGAAGGAAGGTTCCTTCGGTGCATCCCCAGAGGGTGCCACGACCGGTCAGGGCCCCATCCATTTCAGGAGGAGCTTGCCAGAGATAACTTGTTCGAGGCTGAACTTCGCGGCGGAAACCCAAACAAGATCGCCTGCGCCGAATGGACAAGGAAGACCCTGGCGATTGGCCTGTTGGCTCATGCGTTGCTGCGTCTTAGCCATCTGGTTGCGTGCGTTGACAAGTAGCTCTTGCATCCGACGCAAGAAAAGAAGATGGGCATCGCTCTCGGCCGCTCGTGGAGTGGAATGACTGTGTCCAACAGAGAAGTGACCAGCGAGTTGTGCTCGAACTCGAAGGGCGACATCCCGATAGTCGGGTGAATGGACGAGTTGTATGCCAACTCGACATCCGGCAGCCGCTCAACCCAATCCTTTTGGTCGGGACTGATAAAGAGTGCGAAAGAGAACTTGTCCGGTCTGATGCGCCCTCCCGGTTTGGCCATCGGTTTGGGGGTGGCGAGCCGAACTTGGCTTGAGAGATGAGCCCCATCGTTTGATGAACGCCAACCAAAAATCAGACATGAACCGAGTGTCGTGGTCGCATACGATTTCCTTGGGGTAACCCTTGGTTCGAATCCAAGCGGTGTAAAGAACCTCGGCCAACTCTGGTGCCTTGGCATAATAGCGGCAAGGCAAAAACGTGGCGAACTTGGTGAGTCGGTCGACCACCGTGAGAATCCCATCCACACCGATCTTGTGCTTGGGGAACGGCCCGGTAATGTCCATGGCAATCGCTTCCCTTCGGCGCAAGGGGACCGGTAATGGTCGCAACTCACCGTACGGACGATGGTTGCGCAATTTGCAGCATCGGAAAACCTCGCATGACTGGCAATAGCGTGTGACGTCGCCGAGAAGGCCGGGCCACCAAAAGCGCTCGCGAAGTCGGCCAATTGTGCGATTGACTCCCTAGTGTCCGATGGCGGGAGCATCGTAGAACTTGCCAAGAAGCCGTATACGCAAGTGAGAGTAGCTCGGTACACAAAGAAGGTTCTTCCCCCGTGTGTGGACAAGCAGGTACCCCTCTTGGATCCGGTAGTGAGAAGGCGCCAGATTAGGAGAGGAGCAATTCGCGTACTTGTCGCGAAACTCGAGGTCAGCTTGGTAGCCGTGGATGAAGCTCTCCCGCAGGTCGTCGTCGATATCGAAGGCCGAATAGACTGCGGTACAATGATCCGAACGCTCTGAAAGAACATCCGCAAAACGGTACGACTTCCCCGGAATGTGATCGTGAAAGAAGTCGAACTGGTGGATGAAAGCCATCCAACGGGCGATGGTGCTATTGACGGTGTCTTGGGTCTTGTAGAAGACCAACGGATTGTTGTCCGTTACCCATCGGAATTAACTTCGACCAAGGAGGAAGTGCCTCCACCGCTTGAGCGCGTGGATGAAGGCTAGGAGCTCCTTGCGTGCATCATCAATGGAGTGCACGACGGGCACTTTCTTGCTGAAGTACTCGACTGGGTGCCAGTCCACGCCATCATGTTGTTCGAGGACGACACCAATGCCATAGCCGGACACATCCGTAGTGACGCGTGTTGGCGATAGCGGGTCGTATATGCGCAAGACCTCCGCAGATAATAGTGCGGCTTTGAGAGCCAAAAATGATTCACATGCATCCTCTCCGAAATCAAACGGTCGATCCTCTCATTGAAGCTTGGTCAACTGGCCGTGATCTTCGAGTATCCCTTGATAAAACGTTGGTAGTAGCCGGCAAGGCCACGGAACGAACAGACATCCATGACGTTCCGCGGCTCTGGGTAATGCCGAAGCCAGTCTAGACAATTATAAACATCAACCTGATATCAACACACGAGAGAGAGAGAGAGAGAGAGAGAGAGAGAGAGAGAGAGAGAGAGAGAGAGAGAGAGAGAGGAGGACAAAACCAGAGAGAGCAATAGAGGAAAAAGACAGTAGGAGCTCATCCCAAATTTCCCGAAATGCGACCAAACTGGCCGAAAGATTCAAATAAAAAAGTGCCATACACATCGAAAGATAATCTTGAAGACTGGCGCAACGACCATACGTTGTGTTTCATCCGGCCGCCACTACCGGAATCATCAGGGGTCTCGTATCACTTAGGAAGGGATCGAGCAAGCTAACTCTCCTCATTAAGTACTTCCCAAGTTCACATCGCAGGATAGACAGACTAGAGAAAGAAGTATCATGCCTACGATACCGTCCACAACAGGCCCTGAAGAAACTAGAATGCAGACAACTGGTTTCTGAGACCAGATTGACACGAAAAGGTCATACCCACGCCTTTCCGAAATAAGAGGACTAAACAGACAGACTAGATTCAGCACGGAAAAGAGACGGAAAACAGAAACAGATCCATCAAGGTAGAAGATCAAAAGGTACTGGCCTATAGAAAATGACGATGCGTCCCTTCTCACAGTCGATTACCAATGACAACTTCTTTTGCCGCCATCTGTCCAGCCTCTGGACAACCCCACACTCGTTGCCTGTTTCATAGGCATCTGTCCGGGTATTCAGACAAACCCAGCCAAAACGTTGCAAGCGTCTCGGGAATATTTTCAAAAAAGAAAGGAAAAATAAAAAAAAGGAAAAACAAAAAGACAAAACAAAAAGATAAAAACAAAAAGACAAAAACAAAAAGACAAAAACAAAGGGAGATACAAAACAAAGCCTGGCTACGGACAAACCCCTAAAAGAAAACACTCCCCTAAACTGAATTGCCCCTGAGTAGAACATAGAGCACCTGACTCATTGCCCGTGGTCAGTATACAGTGAACCCCTACCTCAAAACAAAAATGCCCCTAAACAGGACACTGAGCGCCTGATTCCTAACCCGTGGCCAGTTCCAGTTCTAGTGCCTACGACGGACCCTTCCCCAACCGGTTAATACTCCAACTCAGTCATCCCAAAACCCTGCAAATTTTCTTGAGAACAACATCAAACCATTGTAAAAAAAGGCATCAGGGAAACCGCGCTTCCAAAGTTCAATCTTCAGAGTTAGCAGAAAGGCCACCTCCATTCCCTTCATTGTAGTATACGTCCGGGCCGTGTGCAAGCATGCCCCAATAACTACCATCTTCTGCTGTTTGCAAATTTTGAAAACGCAACTCCTTCTCTTGGTAGTTGCGCTGATTCTTGTGCAGTGCCACACATTGAATCCCCCATGGCCATTCCAATGCTTTGGCGACACAGCCGAGAAAGTCCCAGCAGTCGCCAACACTCGTCTGTTCAAGGACCAACTTGTCATCATAGCAAGTACGAAAAATATCCAAAACCTTCTCGACTGTCCGAAAGGAAGCGGTGTCGCCCACCTTCTACCAGACTAACAGGGAGACATCGTCCACCATACGGATACCAAATACCAGACGTCGATTGGAACCTGGTGAGGATACGAACATAAACTCGTTGTATGCACAAAGTAGGCAAGCCAGTGCAGGGTTAGATGCTTTCCCCATAGGACTGCCCACCTTTTGTTGTAGGACCCGCCCACATGCTTTGAAGTAGGAACAGTCAAGCTCAAAGGAGACGAAGTTCACAATGACATCGAGTGAAACTGGAGTCCAACCCATCTTGGTTTTTCCAAACCTTAGCCTAGCCCCTTTTCCCCTCGTCCGAACCATCACGCCCTTGCATCCCCTCATCATCCAAAAATCGGCTACCCACCTCATTGCCTCCATGATAGATTCATGCGGCAGGTTGCAGAACATTTCCTTGACGTCAAAAGCCGCACACAGAAACCGCTCTCCTTTGCATAGCCTATTATTAGCCATACTGATTGTTGTTGCCAATTCCGACATGCTCTTAAGATTGAAGTTAGTCTCCCTCGGCAAATCCCAAAGCGGTTGGTTAACCGCCCTTGCCACCTTCTTGCTAGCAGCCACCCCGCATTCTGAAAAAGTGGGCCAGATAGGTCTCCACCTTGAGACATCCTTGTGCTTGGGTACAAAGTATGCATTGCCCAGCTTGCCATTACTGTTCCATTTTCCCAACCAAACGAAACCATCTGGACGGTATCTGACCCCACACTACTTAGTCACATCCACCTCCTGCCCTCCGTTTTCAAAACCGTCGTTGGTTAGAAACAAATGGTCCATGCTAACCCTATAGATCAATGGACAGCAGATCAAGGAATCACCAGGGTTATAATCGATAGGGCAAACAACAAGTCAGAGATGAGCACCGGGTACCCAGACCCGCACCCACCTGCACCCACCCCACCCACGAGGACATTGGGTCAGGTGTGGGTCTTGATAAGGTGACCTGGGTGGGATGAGGGCGGGTCAAGGCCAGGCAGCCTGGGTGGGTGACAGGTGGGTCAACATTAGGCCTGGGTCACCCAAGTGGGTGGGTGACAGGTGGGTGAGTGTTAGGCCTGGGTCACCCGACCCACAGACCCAGGACAACCCATGGGGACCCCCTTCCCCCCCCATCCCCCCCAATCCCTACACGAAATGTCCACCCGCCTAAAAAATTCGAAGGTGCACACACGAAATGTCAAGTCCTGCCGTCGGCCTGCCTGGAAAAAAAAAAAAGGTCGAGGTCCTCCTTGCAAAAAAAAAAGCAGGAAACTTCTTTCAAATTTTTCGCACGCTCCTCTTGCCTCTTGGCGGCTGCACCACGGCCCACATTTGGACAAGTTACCGCTTTCAAACGGGATGCTGAGTTTCGCTCCCATTAAAACAACAGGGGGCGAACCTAACCACAACAGTTGGCAAGGTTCGCTCCCCACTTTTGAACTTCTGGTGCTCATTGAATTGTGGCGCCGTCATCCAGCGACGGCACAACTTGTGCATGGTTCAGCAGCAGGGAGGAGGTGGCGGGGTGGCGAGGAGGGGGGCAACGCACCGACGGCCTGGGGAGCAACAGCGCGGCTGCGAGCCACGCACTGACGGCCTGGGGAGCAACAGCGGTGCTATGAGTGAGCAGCAGTCGAGAGAGAGAGAGAGAGAGAGAGAGAGAGAG